TTCAGCCTCAGTGTTCTTATAAAATGTGTTCTTATAAAAAAAAAGTGTATAAAGTTAACGAAAAAAAACTTATTGACAATATGGCAGATATATAACCGTAACATTGAGACGTTTATATATCTGCCATCTGCACCTAATAATGCAAAAGAAAATAAGTACTTTTATTAGAATGATGCACAAAATTATTTATAATTTTATATGATATATATGATTATACCCACAAGAAAGGTATACACAAAATGAGAATTATTGACCTTTTCTATTGTGTGCAATATTCACCTTATCCTTTGATCTTAACTGTTTATCGTGTTTTAGGGTCAGCTGACTCTTTTGAGTTACAGTAATTTATTATTTCCTATGCATGTAATGCAATAGGAACTATTGTAATCACTCTGTCACATTTCTTTTGTTTTTTACTGTGTGCAGTATGTGTGTGCGTATGTGTGTAGACATTTATGCAAATGCGCATGCGTCAAAGAAAAGTTTTTCGACATTTTGTTTTACATTGCGATGCGAAGTTCGATGTGGATTTTCTGTAGAGTTCAGTCAGGGCTCACGCTAACCGATCGGCAAGTCGGCATGCATAAAACTATTTTGGTTTTACGGCAAAAAATCAACTGCTGTGGCATAGGTATTTTGAAGAAGGCCTAAAATAAAACAAAAAGTTTTTAATACTTGCTGAAATACATCGTTTTTTCATTTAGATCTCCATTTTTCACTAACTTCATGCAACGTTTTTTTCTGTTGTATGAGAAGTCCATAGAGCTATTAAACAACTAGAGTGTTGACAAGATGGCGCAGCAATGCAGAGTTATGTATGTGTACCATCCAAGATGGCCGTCGTAGTAAAGCGCCACCTTCAGGCTTAGTATACATATTAACCATAGAGATATAATAAGAATACTAGAGCGCTAACTGCAATGTATTCGATGTTCGATATACGCAAAGCTGTGTTTGTGTACCACCAAGATGGCTGCCATAGATTCAGCCAATCAAATTTCGCCTAAGCCCTATCATTTTCAATGGCGCCCTCAATTTACACAGAAAGTTCAGTACAGCTAGTTACCCGTATATTTGAAACTCGAGCGTTGCGGTTGTATATGTGTAATGTACACGATTTTATTTTTTTTTTAATTTTTGAATAAGATGCTCTACTTGGCCTCTTTTTGGCTACGATAGTTTAATAATCTGTTATTATTAATACTAATTATCATTAATGAAATAATTAGTCAGTCAGAGGGCTTAATGGTAATAATATGTATAGTAAGCCTGAAGGTGGCGCTTTCCTTCGGCGGCCATCTTGGATGGTACACATACACAGCTCTGCATTTCTTCGCCATCTTGTCAGAACTCTAGTGGTTTAATAGCTCTATGATATTAACATACTATTACATATTAATAAGCCCTCTGACTGACTATTATTTCATTAATGATAATGAATAATGGTAATAACAAATTATTAAACTATTGTAGCCAAAACGAGGCCAAGTGGAGTTTCTTATTCAAAAATAAAGTACCAAGGAATGGAAATTAAAATCGTGTACATTACACCCAAACACCGCAACGCTCGAGTTTCAAACATACGGGTAGCTAGCTGTACTGAACCCTCTGAGTAAATTGAGGGCGGGCGCAATTGCAAACGATGGTGCTTAGCGAAATTTGATTGGCTAAATCTATGGCAGCCATCTTGGATGGTACCCACACAGTTCTGCGTATTTCGAACATCGAATACATTGCGGTTAGCGCTCTAGTAGTCTTATAATTTTATTATCTCTATGGAGTAGCCATATGAAGGTATCATATCCCCGACAGTTGGCTATGCAGCAATGTACCCTTTGAATACAAATTGAAGACAAGTGAAGATATAAAGGCAGCCGACTGTCGGATACATAACGACTATCTAACTTTCCACAAAAACATTAGGCCTAAGCTAGGCCTAGTTCAGTACAGTAGTTACTGTGATGCGAGGGTGGTAGATCGTTCAGTCAGTGATATCGTGTTATTGTCTAATACATTTTAATAATGTGTGTACAATTTAAGAATGCACCGCGTGGATCGCTTTCTTTGTAATGCGGTAGTAGTGTACGTAACAGAGCAATCTAAGCCTAGCCTAGGGCCTAGATCGTATACGTTCTTGATCATCGACGATCGTATTGAAAACTTCGTCTGACAGACGATTGGGCCCAACTGGCGTGGACGATCGGACCCAAGATAGCTTCAAATAAATTGTAGTCCTAGTAGGCCACTGCCACCACCCCCACTTCTGATATCGTTCCAAACTACTGTAAAATGAAGTTACTGTATACCTAGCTAGGCCTAGGCCCAATGCCTACGAACTTTTTTCAAAGAAATTTGTTAAAAATATTACTGTAATTTGCCTGTCGAATTACATTTACTAAAATCACTATTTTGGACCATAAAGACTTCCCCTGGATTTTTCAACCTCCACACAAATTTGACCCAACGTGTGTGTGTGTGTGTGTGTATA